CCAGATGCCATGTGGGATTCTCTGGGAAGGTTAGGTGCTGCTGACCTTCCCTAGAGCAAAGATAAGGCCTTGAAAGCACTAATAACACTCTTTCAGACGTGGATTTATTTGCTCTGCTTTAAGTCTCATATTTCATATAAATATTCAAAAGAATGCTGACAAGTGGTGGAGGAAAATACAAAAAGTAAAGAAGAAACCGCTTCCCGGAGAAAGGCAGTCCTATTTCTAGAGAGCAAACACAGAGGCTGGACCATGAAAGCCTCATTAACATGTGAGTGTTAAACATTTGTAGTTCAGGGCTCAATAGGAAACCACTCTCCCCCATTATTTACAGCTCATCAATCAAACATTAGTTCTGCTCTCAGTAAAAGTGCTGTCAAGGGCACAGGTGTCTCCAAGCAGTTGATTCCATGTTTCTGATGGAGACCTTGGGCCCAGACACCTGGAGAGGCCAATGTCTGTCTTCCTCTGTTCTCCATTATCTCCTCCCAGAAATCTCAAATACTACTTCTTCAGGGGAACCTTGCTGGAGGGCATATGTATTAGTCAGGGTTCTCTAGAAGAACAGAATTTATAGAATGAATCTATCATCTGTCTATCATCTATCTACGTCTGTTTATCATCTCTTATCATACATCTATCATTTTATCATATATCTATCATCTCTCTCTATCTCTTATCTATCTTATCATACATCTATCTATCTGTCTATCTATCTATCATGTATCTGAGCAATTTATTAGAATGGCTTACAGACTGTGGTCCAGCCAGCACAACAGTGGCTGTCTACCAATAAAAGCTCCAAGAATCCAGTAGTTGCTCAGTTCCTAAGGCTGAATGTGTCAACTGGTCTACGTTATACACCAGAATCCTGAAGAAAGTAGGCTCTAATGCCAGCAAAGGAACGGACTTCTCAGTGAGAGCAAGAGCAAGCTGGAAAGGAGGGAAACTTCCTTCTTCCTTGTCCTACGTATATGGCCTGCTGGCCAAAGGCATGGTCCAGACTAAAGGCGGATCTTCTCACCTCAAGATCTGAATTGGAAGTGGGGCTTCCCATTTCAAATGATTTAATTAAGAAAAACAGATGTACCCAGTGGCTTGTTTTAGTTAATTCCAGATGTGGTCACCTGGACAACCAGGAACAGCATGTTAGGATTTGAGTGATGGCTGCACCAGGGTGACAGGGGCTGGGTCATTCTTCTGCCCATTGCTGGATCTTTCCATTCTGGCTGATTTCATTCTTAGTGAGGATGCCCCCATGCTCTGGAAAAGACTGCCGTCTTGTTATTAGTTTGAGCATGACGGCCAAATATAGGATTTGTTGGTGTCACCCCTCTTGGTCAGAATGAATCCCATGCCTGACTCAGAACCAATCACTGCTTGCTTGATTGAGGGGTGCTGATGACACTCCCATTGGGTCATGTGATAACTCTTGGGCTGCTCTTCCTGAAAGCACCGTGGTCTGAGAGCAGATTAGAAAAGTTTTTGTAATTAAAAAGAAGAATGAGGCCTGGCTGGCAAAACTATTCGTGGCTGCAGGCTTGACCCTTATAAAATATGGTTACTCAAATGTGCTTGGCCTATAAGCTTGGTGACAGGTAGGGCTTAGCTGATGTACAAATCCACCAGGCTTGGTTGCCTGATTCCTATATGCTCGACACCCCCCCCCCCGTGTGTGTGTGTGTGTGTGTGTGTGTGTGTGTGTGTGTGTGTGTGCATGCGCGCGCCCTGTATACACATGTAAACACATTGGTGATGTATGTGAAGTCTAGAAGTCAGTCTCGGTAGTCATATTCTTCAGGCACCACACACCTTGATTTATTTATTTATTTAGAAACGAGGTCTCTTACTGAGACCCCAGGCTCCCAGGTAAAGAAAGCTAGATTAGCTGGCCAGCAAGCGCCCCCTGCCCAGTCTGCCCATCACCTCCTCCACCTCTCCTGAACTAGGATCACAGATATATACCGTCAAGCCTGGCTTTTTATGTGGGTGCTGGGGATCAGACTCAGGTCTTCACGCTTAGCTTACAATTACTTTACCAGGGGGACCATCTTCATAGCATCACCATACAATTTGCATAGCAATTACCTCAGCCTGAAAAAAAAAATCCCACTCTGCATTCTACAGTTGCTTGTGTCTGCTCATCAATAGGTTTATTCGTTTTGTGCTGATGCAGGACTCTTAAATACACATGTGGCAGCCCCGCCCATCTTTTTAGCCTCCTGGAGCAGGTGCAGTCAGAACACATTAGTGTCTCTGTGTGGGACTGAGGTTGGCAAAGGTAATTTTCCCAGTCCTCCATCACCCTAATGTAGCAGGTGCTCAGTAAATATTTGTCAAACAATGCTAATTCTGTACCAAGTATTTTCCTTGCTGTGAGGAAACAAACAAAACAAAACAAACAAACAAAAACCAACCAACCAAACAATAAAAACCAATGATATGACATAACTGGAGAAATATTTTTTTTAAAGGGTTTCCAGCCAGCTTGGCAAATCCTCATTACAAAGTGGAGAAAATAAAACAATTTTCTAACAGTGTGATGGTTAATGTTATCACCTTGCCAGGCTCTAGAATCAGCATAGAGATAAACCTCTGGGCCTGTCTGTGAGGGAAATTAGGTTAATTGAGAAGGGGAGATCAGCCTGAATGTGGGTAATGCCATCCCATGGGCCGGAGTCCCGGACTGGATGAAAAGGAGAAAGTGAGCTGAGCACCAGCATCCATCTCTCTGCTCCCTGAATGTGGATGCCGTGTGACCAGCTGCCTCATGCTCCTGCCTCCATGCCTTCCCCACCATGATGGACTGACTGTACCCTCGGGCTCTGAGCCAAGCTAAACCCTTTAAGTTGCTTTGGTCAAGTTATTTTATCCCAGCAACAGAAAAAGTGACTAATGCATTCATTCAGCATGGAGTCGAGCTGAATGTGCTATAACCAGCCCTCTACAAGAGCAATGGCGGCCTCACTCGTTGATACAGTCAGGAAGGATGCTCATTTGTGCACACAGGATTGTGTTAGCCAGACAAAAGGGGACACTCCTCAGCCCATTTGGACAGGTAGGAAGCTCCAAGCAGTAGCCAAGCTCCAGCCGAGTGCCTGCCTAAAGTCCACAAAGCCCTGGGTTTGGTCCCAGCACCATATAAAAGTAGGTGTGGTGGGTTGTGTCTGTAATCCCAGCACTTGGGATGTGGAGGCAGGAAGACCAAGGCCATCTTCAGCTTTATCGTAGGGAAGTAAAGGCAAATCTGGGCTAGAAGCATCCTCTCAAAAAGTTAGGAGTTGGCCAAGAGGCTTGTTCAGACTTTCAAGGATTTGTATATACTGTAGGGGACAGAAAACATTCTAAATGACACCCTGAAGGAAAAGGGGGCGGAGGAAAGGTTTCTTTCCCTTTGGGCGCTAGGTAAAATTTTCATTGAATTTTTTTTTTTTTTTTCCCCTGAAGGTTGTGTTTACCCTTCCAAGCTGCCTCAGTGAGGTCTGCAAATGGGCTGGGGAGATGGCTCAGTCTGTGAGCTGCTTGGCGTGCAATCATGAGACCTTATAAAAAAGTGGGGTGCAGTGGGGTACACGTTACCCGTCATTGGGGAGGCAGAGACAGGAGGACACTTAGGGCTCAGTGACCAGCAGTGTAAGACCCTGCCTCAAAAAGTAAGAGGAGAGTGATTGAAGATGTCACCCACGGCCGATCTACACACACCTCCACACAGACTCACACGCTCACACGGGAGAACAGACTCCCCTGTCTTCAGGGTAACTTCAAGACTCTATTGGGAGAGCATATTGGATTTCTAGGGATCTGGTGATTGGGACTCTGGTTTAGATGAGACACTTTCCTGTGCACCATGACTGGGGGAACTGGGACAGGATTAAGAACCTAAGAATGGTCCCTCTCTTTCACAGGGAGGGCGGCATCGGAGCTCAGAGAACGTACGGTTCAGGGTTTCCCCACAGTGGCCACCATAGTTTCCACAGTCCGGCTCTCACACCAAGCTGTGCTCTTTGCTGGGCTGTCTGAGTGCTTGCCTAGCATTCGGGAAGCCCGAGTTTGATCTCCAGCACTGCCTCACCGAGTGTGGTGACACAGGGTCATAACCCTAGCATTCACGAGGTGGAGACACGATGGTCAGAAGTTCAAGGTCATCCCCAGCTACATAATGAGTTTGGGGCCAGGAAGGGCCTGAGACTCTACCTTTAAAAAAAAAAAAGTATCTTTTACAGTTTGGGGTAGCAAATGTTGCTTCAGGGCTCCTGAGTTAAAGCCTTAGTCCCTGGGTGGAACTAGGGAAAGCGATGGCTTCTATGGCCTAGTGAGAGGATTTGATCATAAGGGATGTAACCTCAGAAGAGACTGTGGAACCCTGACTTCTTTCTCTTTGTTCCCAGGGCTCTTTGCCAGGAAGTTTAGCCCCACTATGCACTCTCAAGACTCTGGCACAGGCTCAAAGGAATGGGGTAATCATTCATGGACTTGGACCAGAACCCTCCAGACTAAGAGCAAACTGACCTTTTTCTCTTTATGCATGGTTTAGCTGCTGTGCTTATTGCAGTAGTGGACGCTAAATAACGAGATTTTATGTCACTTCAAGCTGTCGGGTAGACACTGACTTCTGTTTGTTTCAATGTCAGCCTGGGAAGTGTTAACTCGTTAGTAGGGATGGCCTAGACCAACCGTGGGAATCCACATCTGTAATCCCAACAGTGGGGAAACTGAGGCAAGAGGTTTGTGAGTTCAAAGCCAGCCTGGGCTGTACAGTGGGACTCTGTCTCCATCCTCAACAGAGTATTTGAGAGAGAGAGAGAGAGAGAGAGAGAGAGAGAGAGAGAGAGAGAGAGAGAGAGAGAGAGAGAGGTGTTGCCTACGTTGTCACTGCTCAAAGCTCATTGCTTAGAGGTTGCAGCTGCTTCCAGACCGGTGGCTGGGGTTCCTCCCCCTCTCTCCTCCTAGCCCGCCCGGTGCTCTTCCCCATTCCCTCCCCATTATTCCCAGCGGGTGGAGTCGCGAGCAGTCCTTATCAATGGGCACAGGCGGGTTAGCACTCTTACTACCTCCTTCAGAGAGCAGCAGTCCCTAGCCTGGCTGCGGCTCTGGTCGGACTGGCTAGGTTCAGCCATGGTTTCTCTGGGCTTGGGGGTCGCCCAGGGTCCTGGACGCCGTGCGGGACGCTGAGCGGGTCACTGAAATAGACACGGAGTTCCCGAGTGAGCAGAACGCAAAGCAAAGGCGAACAATAATCGGAGGAGCTCTGGCATCATGAGTCTCTGGCTGTCATCGTGGGGGCCACGGTCACTGCTGCTGCTGCTGCTGCTCGCCAGAACGGCTCACACTGTGAGTACGCGCCCCTCCAGGACATGGACCCGAGCGACCAGCCCGCGTTCCTCTACTGGGTCCTAGGCATTACAGGGAGCAGCCGATCTCCGCAGCCTTAACAATGGCATCGTTCCCTCTGTCGGAGTCCCCTTCTCCAAAGGCAAAACTTCCTGGGCTCTCTGTCCCAGGTGAGGCAGGTCTAGGCTCAGACCCCTCGCCCTTCGCTCATCCCTTCCAGCCCACGGAGCTCACTTCTTTCCAGGAGACAATTCTGCAGCGGCCCCAGCAATGCCGCACACTTGCCCCTCTTCCCATTTTGAGACCCAGGTCACTCAGGCTTTACAAGCAAGGACACCAAGGCTCAGAAAAGGGCGGGAGAGGCTTACCCCAGGTCAGAAAAAAAAAAAAAAAAAAAAAAAAAAGTCAGAACCCAGGTTCTTCAGGCTAGCTATCGCCTTGGTGGTTTTACACGCTCCGGGAAATTTTAGAAAGCTGTGAGGGTAGAGTGTGAGTCTGTGGTGGGACCATTTTCAGTCCACCCTCCCCAACCCCCCTACTGGAGGGACTGGCTTTCCAAAGTCTGCCCCTGTGGGCTCCTGGGAGCAACGGGTCTGGTCACAACAAACTCAGGGCAGGAGAAGGAGAAAGTTGGAGCAGAGAGAAGCCAGGGGGTGGTGTGTGTTTCTTTCCCATAGAAACCCTGGGAACTTTGGGCGACTTCCCCTGGGATATCTGCAGAGACAGGGCTGCATGGAGGCTGGCAGGATGGAAAGAACTGGGAGAAGGTCAAGGCTGCCGGGTTGAGGACTCCAGGGTTATTCCTCCAGACAAGCTCTGCATAATGTCACACACACACACACACACACACACACACACACACACACACACACACACACACACACACGCCCCCTCAGGTCAGCGTTTTAAGGAACCACAGGAATAGATCTCCAGACTCCCGTCTAGGTCAATGACTTAGTTTCCCGAGCTTTTTTTTTTTTTTTTTTGGTCTGGAAAGGATGCTTTGGATTATTGCTGCACCTTGGAATGCTGCTTGTGTATAGTCAAGATCTTCGTTTTTATGGAAGATCAAAAGCCCTCAGAGAGGGACTTGCTTCACATAGGCATGTCAGGAGAAGGGCTGGGACTAGAGCCCAGATTCCTAACTTTGGAAAGTTGCAAGGAGGGGAGGGAGTGTGGATGGGGGGGGGGGTGACACAGATGGAGGACCTGAGGTTAGTTCTGTCCTTTGTGAATTTGCATGTATATGCACCGAGTGTTATCTCTAGAGGAAAGCTTCACTCTGGTTATTGTATGGGCTTATCCTGCCCCGTGATTCTATCTCTTAGGGTTTGTGGCAGAAAACGCCTTTCATAAGTGAGGGTGGGATTGACCTATTTCATTTGGACAGTTTCCCAGCTTCTGCAACCTTTTCCTTTTGCTTGTTTGGCTCCAGGTAGTCAGACGCTGGATCTTGACATTCAAGGATAATAAAGGTGTCTTGACATTCAAGGATAATAAAGGTGTCTTGACATTCAAGGATAATAAAGGTGATTTCTTCCTTCCTTTTGGATTTCCCTCAGAGGGACATCATAGGCCCCCTTCCAAAGCGACCATTGAGGCAGGTAGCACTTGCTCCTACCTCCCTTCCTGGCCTCTTCCTTCAGGGGAGGGGCCAGAAGTGTCCTTTGCAAGTAGAAGCCTAGAAGGAGTGATTGCCTTTTTGCACAAGAAACAAAGCACAGTGCCTTCCCCCCTGCCTTGCTCCCTTCAGCAATGAGGGCTTCCACCCGCCTGCACCACTGTCCCACCAGACGGGTGTGTGGTAGCTTGAGAACTTGTCTTGTGCAGTTTTATCCTTAGGGCCTGCCCCAGTGTAGGGGGAATCAATGGGTGTGTACTCCATGAATGATGGTGAGTGGGTGAAATGATGTCAGGGTCCACAGGAGAGTGGCTTTTGTGGGGATGTGTGAGTGTGCAAGTCCGTGTGCATGTGTGTGGCTGTGCAGTCCAGAGAGAAATGTCTGGCTTTTACGGCTCACCTTGTTTTTTGAGGCAAGGTCTCTTACTGGCCTGGGACTCACCAAGTAAACTAGGCTGACTGGTCAGTAAGCCCCAGGACATTCCTGTGTCCACTTCCCAACACAAGTTAGTGTGGTTGGTTTTAATGTCAACTTGCCACAAATTAGAATTACCAGGCGTGCACCCACTGCACAGACACACACATTCAGGCAAAATGCCCACACATATAAAAAGTCTTTTTAAAATTATTATGCTCTTTATACTAGTTCCGTTTTCTCTTATAACATTTTATCAACGTATTTTGATCATATCATTCCTTACTCACTCTCCTAACTCCTCCCTGATCCATCCCTACCCTTTTCAAATATGTCTTCTCCACCAATAACCCACGGAGTGTAATTTGTGCCACCCATATACTCGTGGGTGTGGGCAATCCACTGGAGCAGGAGGAACCTTCCAGGATCCACACCCCCGAAGAAAACTGACCCCCATCTCCATATCAGTGATTAATTGCCAGCCAGTAGCTCCTCAGCTGGAGGCATCGTCTTGTAAGTTCCTTCCCATCCCTGCCGATAAGTTAACTACTTTGATTTGTTTAATCAACCACAGCTGCAGTGAGTTCATATGTACGATTGCCCTGGCTGGTCAGAAAAACACTGCCTTATGGCAGTCATCTGAAACATCTGGCTCTGATTCAAACAAGGTTTCTTAGCTTGACACTTTTTTTTTTTTTTTTTTTTTTTTTTTGAGGCAGGTCTCATGTAGCCCAGGATAGTCTCCAATTCCCTATAATGAAGGATGATCTTGAACCTCTGATCTTCTTACTTCTACCTTCTGCATACAGGTGTGTGCCACCATGCCAGTTGTATGCTGTGCAGGGGATTGGAACCCAGGAATTCGTGCATGCTAGCAACTACCAACTGAGCCACATGCCCAGGCCAACTTTGACAGTATTGACATGGGGGCCAGACGTAGCAGTTCTAAGCATTGTATGGGTTCTAGCAGCATCTCTGGTTCTCTAGATTGGAGGCTGGGGATATCTCTGCAAAGCTGTGACAATAGAATGTCGGCAGACATTGTCAAACACTCGGTGACTACAAGCAGGAAAACTGACCATGAGTGACAACTACTGCCTTAAAGGCTGCCATGTTTCTGAGGGGTACGTCGATGGGACTAAAAGTAGGTGTTTGCTGCACATTGGATTTGAGGCTCTAGGGTTGATGATGGAGAATCTGAGTCCAACGGTGGAAACAGGATACTAGCATTGGGATCTTGTGTATGTGAACGTGTGTGTGTGGAGGTCAGAGGTCAGCCTTGGGTGACATTCCTCAGGACCCTGTCCATCTTGGTTGTTTGAGACAGGGTCTCTTGGTGGATTTTAGAACTCTGTGATTTGGCTAGGCTGAGTGGCTCAAGAACCCCAGGGACCCACCTGCCTCTATTTTCTAGCACTAAAATTTTAAATATGTGTCACCATGCCTGGGTTTTTACCTGGGTTCAGGGGAATTGAACTCAGGTCTTTGTGCTTGGGATGCAGCTACTTTACCAACTGAACTATCTCCCCAGCCCTATAGTTTAGATCTTGTATACTCTCCAAAAGTGTGTGGAAGGCTTGGTGCCCAGTCCCTAGAACAATGTAGAGACGGATGAGCTGAAGTTAGGGGATATTGTGACCCTGGTCCTTCCTCTACTGCTTCCTGGCTACCGTGAAGTGTCCTCTACTATCTGTTGTCACCAGGATTCACTCTGTGGCCATAGGCCCAGAACATCTGGGCCCAAGTGAAACTCCGAGTCAGTGAAATAACTCTAGCCTCCTCCGTTGATTTTCTGTGTCACGTCATCAGAGCAGGGGATGTATGTAACACGAAAGTGCACATCATCCAAACCTAGTTCCAAGCCAGATACAGGCTCTGCAGAGGATGCGTTCTTTGTCTTCGCTGTCTGGCTTTTGCATTTCTCCTTGCCCCATTTTACTTAGTTGATGGCTCTGAAACAAAAACTCCCCAGCTTCAGAGCCTGACAGACAGAAGCTGAAGCATCTTCCCAGCACCTCTGCTGGTCTGAACGGCCCAGAACGATCTTCCAGAACTAGAGTTCTGCCATTGTGGTGGCCCCTTCCAGTGTCCCTTCACTGGACCCCAGTCTCTCTTCCGTCCAGGACACTGACCTTCACCAGGCTCTGGGGTACCTTGCAGCCCAAGGTAAACCCACAACACTCAGATCCTATCTACTGCTTTATAATAAATAGAAGGCTGCTTACCATTGTGAGGACTTGAAAAAACGAGAATGTCCTGGGGCTGCCGGCCTCAACAGACCATTCTGGCGGATGAACTCGAATGCAGATAGACACCCCCAGGTCAATTGTGCCTGCAGCCCAGACCATCCTGCCCCTTATAGGAACACAAGTCTGTAAGGAACGGAACCTAGCTCCATAACCTCAGTTAACCCCAAGGACTCTATCTGGAACCCTCCATGCTGTTCCCCTCACCCACAGTGCTCAGAGACACCCTCACCTCACGTGACCTGTCTATTTGAATTCCTGGCCTCCTGATTCACACGCTCATTTCCAGCTGATGCATTTGATGTCATTTCTAGAGTCAAGACTCCCTGGACAGACTTCCTCTGAGCGGCTGGCTTCCTCTGATGCGATGCATGTGTCTACAGCGAACACCCTGCTTCTTTCCTCCCCATCCATCTAGATCAGCCAGGCTGCCCCAAGGAAGCCCATATCTAGGGGCTGGGGAGATGGCTCTGTTGGGAAATGCTTGCTTAGCAATCGCAAGGACCTAAGGTGGAGCCCTAGATCCCGTGTTTAAAAAAGTCATGTGGAATTGCCTATCCTAGCTCTGGGAAGGTGAAGAATAGAGTTCCTTGGGGTCCCTGGACACCTAGCCTAGGCTAAGTTCCAGGCCAGTGAGAGACCCTACCTCAGAACACAACAAAGAAATAAACAAAAAGGAGACAAAAAACATGGCAGGTTTATCTCTGGCACACCTGCG